GTGTGTATGTGTTATCATGTGTTCTTTCTCTTAGCCTAAACAAAACTGAGTGACGTTCTGACGTCTGACGTAAAAGGTAACACCTCCAATGGTGTAACCAGGAAGAGATGTACATTATAAGCTGAATTCATTATTATAGTAGAAAGAAAGTTGTCAGGGTGTTAGAGTCTCTGCTTCTGAGCAGAGTTGCTCTGCTGTGTTTGGGTTTTCCTGAAATCAGCCCAAGGTCTGACTGAGGCCTGTGTGCTGAGTGCTGTTCTGTGAACCTGATTGGAGTCAGAAGACTGAAAATAAAGTTTTAAAGAAGAAATCCAGCTGAATGCTGTTTATTTGGATATACCATTTTGAACAACGCATATTTTTCCAACAATTTGGTGACCCCGATGTGATGGATGATCTTGAATAAGAAAAGAACATTGAATTTTTATTTTTGGCTGTTGAAGAACCTGAGAAGATTTTTGAAACATCATCTACTGAGAGTGAGTACAGAACAGCTTCAAGATGCCTCCTTACTTTTCCTAAGAGGATTTCTGCCAGCTTCTCCAAAAGGTGACGGTGTTGGAGCTCAAGATTCATCGTCTGGAAGAGATGAATGCTTTGGAGAACTCAACATGTGTTAAAATGAGTGAGAAGGCTGAGATGAGAGATCAACATGGAGAGGAGATGGAAGCTGCTTCTGAGGGTGAAGCTGTATGGAACTCTGTTTGAGTTGGGGGGTAGTAATATACTCGGATAAATGTTTTTACTTATGTATTTTAACTGAAATATCAGCCTCATTAACAAAATCCCTGAGTCCGGAAATGAAACCCCGTCGTAAAAAGCGATTGAAGCTAGCTTGCCTCTAAAACTCCTTTGTGCCTCAGAGCGAGTTAGTAACAGATCCAAACAGGCAACATGATGGGAAAAGAAAAAGAAAAAAAAGGCAGTCCTGCATAACGAACTAATAATATTAATGTGTGACCGGGCCGCTCCTGACACAACAACAAACACATGGTCGGCTGTAATGGCTGCCGTCTACCGGTGTTCTGTAAAAGTTGGTCTACCTGAAAAAAGTTTCCCCACCAGAGGGGGCGCTTGTGAGACACAGCGCATGAGATTGTTGCTGAGTGGGATTCTGATGCCTTTATTACAGAGGAGGAATACCAGAAACTTTTAATGATACTGATGATGGTGAGCCTGATTTTGAAGGCTTTTAATTCAGCTTCATCCACACTTGTTAGAGCCACACAGCTCTATCTGTTTGTTAGATCACACCAGTTAACAAATGAACATTTGATAAAATAAAATTAAAAACTGATACAACAGTCAAATGATATTTTTACTGATATATATACAGTGGTGTGAAAAAGTGTTTGCCCCCTTCCTCATTTGCTGTTTTTTTGCATGTTTGTCACACTTAAGTGTTTCGGAACATCAAACCAATTTAAACAATAGTCAAGGACAACACAAGTAAACACAAAATGYAATTTGTAAATGAAGTTGTTTATTATTAAAGGAGAAAAAAATCCAAACCATCATGACCCTGTGTGAAAAAGTGATTGCCCCCTAAACCTAATAACT